CTTATAAACCCAAACCGGTACGCAAGTTCTTTTAAATGTATAAACATATATCATAATCCCGACCTTATAAATCCAAACCGATATGTAAGTTCGTTTAAATGTATAAAAATATATCCTAACTCCTACCTTATCAACCCAAACAAATATATAAGTTCGTTTAAATGTCTAAAAAATATACCATGACAAACTATTGACCATCCAAATATAACGACCATCCAAATATCTCTGTCAAACTCTCACGACGTGGATATACATAAACAAGGTGTCCATGCAAACATAATAAAGAGCCAAGCAAGGGAATCCACCCATTAGCGTTCGAACATATGTTTTTGGTGTTTTAAAAAACTTTAGATTATATACCTGACAATTCCAATTGTCATTCATCCACGTTCATCCGTTTTAAAATATATTTCGATTCTGAGTGAACACCAATTAGTGACCATCCAAACATATCAATACACAACTTTATACAAGAAGGATAATCGTCAATACAAAGTTTTTTCACATAATTAAGAAGCAAAAATACTAATTTTACCATTTGATTGATTTTCTCTAAGGGTAAGTGACACTTTAGCATACTAAAACCTAAATCCTAAACCCTAAATTCTAAACCCTAAACCCTAAACTCTAAACCCTAAACCCTAAACCCTAAACCCTATATTATTACACATCATTTTTCATCCTTTTATAATCATACACATGATTTTTCATATCAATTCACAACTTTATATACGAAGGATAATCGTCAATACAAAGTTTTTTTATACATCCGCAAAACTCTGATCAAGTGTCTGTTGTTCATAACCAATTGTTTTTTTTTGTTTATGACCATCCAACACTGAACACATGGTTAATTATAAATTATCTCAAGCATGGCAAAAGAACTTTTGATTATATACTAGACAATTCCAATTGTCATTCATTCACGTTCATCCGTTTTAAAATATATTTCGATTTTATGTTAAAATCTCTTGTCCATTGAGTGTTTGAATGTGAAGTGACCATTAGAGTAGGAAAATATTCAGTCAAACACTAAAATGGGACATAAAAAACTGTCCAAATGGAACTTACGATGGGAGTAAGTTCCCACTACCATTCTTGTTCTATGAGTGCGAAGAAAAAAGAAAGTGATTGGTACCACTTGTTCTATGAAAATGACCTTTACCTCGAACTTATTATTGTCGTCCACAAAACCATGTCCAGATGGTATAATCTATACAAACAAATATTTGACCAAAATTTAAAATAACGATTTTACCATTATAATCTTCCAAATACCAACACCATAAAATTTGGTATTTGTGTCTAATTAAGTTTTCTAAATATCCAATAGAACAATACATTAAAATTTGAGAACAAGTAGTTAATCATAATTTGTGTCCGCAATAACTTGTCGACTTAAACTTGCCATGAAAAATTTATGGTTCAAGATGCATGTTAATAGGTGTTTTAATTTTTATATGAAAACTATGACAAAATATTCTACTCTTTTAGCCACATGTTTGTTCATATCCATCCGTTAGTTCATATCCATCCGTTAGCAAAAAAAAAAAAAAAGGCGCAAACTTGCGATGGAAACTTAAATAAAGTTAAATGGGAGAATCTACATTTGGTTGTAGAGTGTCGTGAAATGAAAATAAGATCAGCCGCAGCCACTTGGATGATCCCCCACCACTTGGATAAGCCGCAGCCTTAGGCTTTGGAAGTAAATCCCGCATCAATGACTAAACCCCAAAAGGAAAAGACGCTGGAAACGGCCACTAGGTTTTTTTCTTCTCCATCCGTGCCAAAACACCAAAGAACATATAATTCTTAATATACTTATACAGAAGAGAAATCTTGACTCTGTCTCTCTATCTCTCTCCTTCGTATAATACTATATTAGTACCATTACCCATCTCTCTTTCACCACCAAACCAACTTCTATATTAGTACCATTATCCATACAACTCTAACTATATGGTCAACATGAAATGGCTTGTAGGACATGTCTAACTTTATGGTCAACATGAAATGGTCGCTTGTAACTAAAAGGTATAATTAAAGATATATAATTCAATCAAGAACGACACGGCTCTCCTCTCCATAAAAACCTCTTGGATCGGGATTCATCATCAGACATCTCAGCAGCCAGCTAGATTAAGCAACTCTAAAACCCCTTAAAAATTACATTACCGATTTCCTAGTGAACATTAAAAGAAACCCTTGTCGTAGATTATCCCCAAGATCAATTTACTACAACACCAACACCATCAGAATCTCGAAGCTGCGATTTAGATCTAGTGCAGTGTACACATACTTTACTCATCCCAACAATAACAAAAACTTTGATATAACTTGTCTCCTCGTTTGTGCATCCATAAGGAGATCAGAGTACTTAATCTCAAAGTAAATCTCTCGCTGCACATAAGAAAATTTAACAAGGTGAAGCAAATAAAAAGAATAAGATACAAACCGATTCTTCTAACAATGAAACAATGTCCAATCTTAGATTGAGAAAAATCACAAACCTGAATAGCAGCTTTAACCATGGGATGCTTCAATCGGAATAACACCTTGTCCGTGAAATCAATCAATATAAGATCAACCTAGGAAACAAACAAGCTAAAGATTGAATTTTTACCAGAAAAAAAAAACAAAAAAAAAACTCAATTGGGGAGAGAGCGATTGAAACCTCAGCTTTCTCACAGGCATAATCGAAAGCGTTCTGATTCATGGGCCTGCCATGTTGTTTTCTCAGGAGGAAGAAGAAGAACGAAGAAGAAAACGGCCTATTTTGTTGATGATGGTCCAGATTTTTTAAAATTTTGATTTCTCAGAAAGAGAGAGAAAAGATGCAACAAAGGAGAGATAATATAAGAAGAAGAAAGAGACGATAAAGATTTGGTTTGGTTAGGTTAGAGTTGTGGTTTGAGACAAGACTTTGGTTAGAGATGAGAGAGTGTATTAGTTAGAGGGTAGCTAGGTAATAACACCCACAAGAAAATATGGGGTGAGTTTCATAATGGCACACTTTTCTGAAGTTTCATTTCAAAAGAGACACATTCCATGTTTTTCAACTGTTCAATTTTAATAAATACCAAAATGCCCTTGAACAAGATATTAAGGACGAACGAAAACGCTGAGATACAAAACATAACTCATCCTCTTTTTTTTTTCTCCTTTCACGTCACTTCTCATTCTCTCTCTCTCTCCTTTTTTTTTTCATTCTCTCTTTATTATTATTTTAATTACTTAATATCACATATATTCTTTATTTTGTTTATACAATAAATTAAGATTTAATTTTTTATACATTTTAAGATCCATTTTACTAGATTTTAGGTTAATAACTATATTATATATTATCTATTTTTTATTGAACATTTGTTTGTTATAATATGGATGTCATCAGATACTTGAACAAAAATACTACACCAATATTTTTAACTATCGATCATCTAAGCATATTCGCTAAATTCTTATCACAGAAATGAATAAAGATCATGTTTTTCGATAGATTATACATCCGTCAAACTCTGGACAAGTCTGTTGTTCATATTTTACTATTAGGTATGTTTTTTTTGTTTATCCGACCATCCAATACTAAACATATCATTAACATTAATATATCTCAAACATTTATATAAAATGCCCACGAACATTTGAACATATGAACTCTGTTTTTGTAAACAACCACACACGCAAACTCATCCAAACAGACAATATCTACAGATACTTGAACAAATATACTACACCAACATTTCTAACTACCGATCATTTCATGTTGACCATATAGTTAGAGTTGTATGGATCATCAAGATATGGTAATTTTGCATTATGTTCAAGAAATAAACCCTAAACAGTAATCCACTAAACCCTAAACCATCATATTTTACTATTATCAATGTTTTCTAAAGTTTATCTAACCATCCAACACTGAACACATGGTTAAAATTAATATCTCTCAAGCATTTCTATACAATATTTCCGAACATTTGAACAAATGAACTCTATTTTGGAACAAATGATGTCCACATATAACTGACCATCAAGCCCTTATTTTATTTACATTACCCCTAACCCATATTAGTTCCTACACCCAAACATATATGTTACTTCGTCCGACCATATGGAAAACATCGTTTGGACATAATTTTATGGGCAAAAATGATAAGTTTGAAGTTAGGTTTGCAAGCTTAATAAAAACTAGGAAGAAACCTGTCATTTGGTGGTTACGAGTTCCTACGTGAAGATCCCTAAGCAGATGCTATCGGGGTACTAATTGCTATCGGGGTACTAAACCCTAAACCCTAAACCCTAAACCCTAAACCCTAACACATACCTTATAAATCCAAACCTATATGTAAATTTGTTTAAATCAAAATCTAACCTTTCGGATTTAACAACATTACAGAATCAAGATTGGACCTTTAGTTAGTACAAAATTTATGTCGATTCGTCGGCTTCCATTGGAGAAAAAAAAAGTAAATCAAAATTAGAACACATGAAAGGTATTATCGGTATCCATGTGAACGTGACCATATACATTGACATCTTTTAATTTCTCGGCGTCCATTAGGATATGACCATTAAGAGACTGAATCAAGAAAATAATATAATTGTTAAGTTCAAACTAAAAACCTATTATCTATATGGACTGGACCTTTACTTCGAACAAAATTTATGTTTATTCATCGGTTTTAAAATAACGATTTTACCATTTGATTGATCTTTCATATACAATCACCACAAAGCTTTGTCTTTGTATCTAATTAAGTTTTCTAGATATCTAAAAGAGAAAAAGTACATGAAAATTTCAGAACAAGTACATGTAGTTAATGATAGTTTGTGTGGAAAATAATATGTCCACTTAAACTTGACCATGAAAAATATATATGGTGTAATATATAACATGTTTTATAATTTTGGACATTAAAATTTTAAAATCACGACACAAACGTCTAATCTTTTAGCCATATGTTTCTTTATATCTATCCATTAGTTCATATCCATTTAATAAAATTGACTCCAATTCATTTAGCCATCCATTTGTTCATATCCATTACAAGATAGATTCAAACAACTATATATACCACATTACCCCAAAGGGATTTGACCATTTAATATTAACAAGATCTTGAAGCCTTGTTCGATCACATGTAAGAAGAAATCAAACAAATATCGAAACTTAATCATCAACACACTAGTTCCAATCATCATAGCGATCTTAATTCTTCGTCTACGACGATGTCTTCATGTGTTTCCGTAAAAGAACCAGACAAATCGAAAAGAGCACATAGATTTGGAATCCGGAGGAGAAACACTATCCATCTTCAGCTTCAACGGCAAAGTCCGATACTAAGAAATCATCAAAACAATAGGAAAATTTGATCCAAAACACATAATCGGAACCGGATGACACATGAAAATCTACAAAGCAAAGCTTCCAAACGTAACCATGGCGGTTAAAAAGCTAAACGAAACAACAAACTCATCGATCTCAAATTCATTGACAAAACAAGAGTTCCTAAACAAAATCAGATCATTAACCGAGATCCATAACTGAAACGCCGTGACACTCTTGGGATTCTGCTCGCACCGCCGCAATACATTCATGGTTTTACGAGTACATGGAAAGAGATAGCTTAAGGAAGGTTTTGGAGGATGATGATGAAGCGAAGAAGTTGGATTGGACGAAGAGGTTTTACGAGTACATGGTAAAATTGACTCCAGTTCATATCCTTCGCCGCCGCGGTCTTCGATCTCAATTCACCTTCCGGTTGAGAATCGTCGAGCAACGGAGTAGTCTCTTCAATCTCTTGCTGTGGTAGATCTCTATCCTTCTCCTTCTCCGTCATCGATGACATGACTAACAATTCAACGGAGTAATCTCTTTCTAGGAGAATCCCTTCGAACCATGCATCTGCAGAAACTTCAAGTCACCAATCTCATTTGGAATAGACCCAGATAAGAAATTCCCATAAAGAACCAAACTTTGAAGCCCTTGAGCCTTAAAAAGCTCAACAGGTAAGTTCCCACTAAGCTCATTGACGGAGATTAGTAAGTAAACCGAGAGAAGAAGGAGATTAGTAAGCAGCCCGTGTATCGTGGAGTCCGTATGAGGAGCTGGGGCAAATGGGTATCGGAGATTCGTGAACCACGGAAGAGATCGAGAATCTGGCTCGGGAATCTTCCTACGGTGGAGATGGTGATGCGTTCTCACGACGTGGCGGCTATGAGTATCAAAGGAACTTCAGCCATTCTCATAGGCTATGGAGTAATGGAGAGATGGAGAGAGGAAGGCGGTACAAATCATGGAAGGAGAGAGAGAGAGAGAGAGAGAGAGAGAGAGAGAGAGAGAGAGAGAGAGAGAGAGAGAGATCATTTCTTTTGCTATAGATCAGAATCGAGGAGGAAGAAGAATAAAGAGAAGTAGATGAAATTAAAGGGTATGAAAGACTTTAACAGAGAGAGAAAACTTGTTGGAAGACGAAAGTATGCCAGAGTGAAAGAGAAGTTGAGAAAGTATGGCATTGTGATATTATTCCGAAAATATGTTGAAAGATGAAAGTGTGTTAGAATGATAGATAAGTTGAGAAAGTGTGTCGACGTGATATTATTCCTACATAAAAATATAAATAATCAATAAATAAAACTATAGTAACTAGTATTGATGTTAGTATGGGCCGACCCGGCCCGTTTAAACCCGGCCCGTCCCTAGGTTGAACTCTTTTTTATGCTCGTTTAAACCTAAACCCGTTTAAATATGTTTAATTTACATTGAACCGTTTAAGCCCATTTAAATTATTGTTTTTCAATATTCAATCTTTTTCTATGTATTAACATTTATTGATCTTTGCAATAATAAAGTTCACAATTTATTTGATATTTTCATTTATTTTAAATCAATTAAATTTTGTCATTAATTAGTAAAAAAAAGAAGTAAACTAAACATAGCCGGATCTTTCCGCCAAGAGGCTTTTTTGTCCTCATCACTCACCACCATCATCTGACTCACCTCTTTTAGCCTCCCTTAATCTCAGACAGTATCCGTCAACGGTTATGTCTCCTAAAAGTATCTAAATCTACAATCGGAAGAAGGTAACATTACTCGAAACTTTAAGATTCAAAATGTTAATAATGGAGTAAGAGGCGAACAGGCTCGTAGGAGAGGCTAGCTAGTAAGAGAGGCGGAGAGGACATGCGGTGAGGCTCATAGGAGGAAGCGGTGATCGGAGGTAGAGGCGGCGAGGCTCGAATGCATCTGAATAAAAACCTTAAGTTTAAAATATTGTTGTTTTCTGAAAAGAAAATAAACAAACGAGCTACCCATTTATTTTTGATCAAACGCGCTAAGCTCACGGGCCTAAACGAACTTACATGTTTAGAATCTTTTTATTCTACAGTATAAATAAACGGGTCATGGGCCTAAAGTCTTACAAGGAGTCCGCTTGGGCATGTGAGCTCTTAACCCCTTTTAACATTATTAGTAACTACATAGAGGACATCAATTATATATTATAAATATAATATAATTATATATAAAGTAATAAAAATTATTTAACTATCGCGAGTTGCCGAGTTATCACCTAGTATTTTTTAGTTGCAATTTTTATTTTCATTATAATATGTCAAATTTGTTTAACCCTCTTATATGGATATATTTATTTTGTTTAAAACGTGGAAAAGCAATCAAAATTACTTTTGAACTTTAAAATAACGTTTAGAAAACTCAAATTCATATTAAACTAAATGGACAAACAAAAACTCAACTGACTAAACAAATCCTCAACTGATTTAAATGGATAAAACTAAACGGGTAAAAGGGATGGGCATAATTCCCGTTCCGTTCCGTTCTATTCCGTTTCGTTCCGTATCCATTCCCAAATTCATGTCCCATATAGGGATGCATTCCCGATAAGAAACAACTTTTGTAATTCCGATTAAAATGGGACGGGTCGGAAACGGAACGGAACGGAACGGGAATTTCCGAAGTCTCGTTTAGCAAAAACAAAAAAGACTTTATGTTACATATTCATCATACATATACACTATACATGTATATTATGTTTTGGTTCATCTTGATATAGACGGGATCATGATTCATTGCTCTTAAGTTTTTTACTTTTGTTGAATAAGTCCTAACCTATTTTTTCTTTAGTAAAACATGCTTAAGTGTCGTTTTTCTTTTCTTTACGTTGTATTATTATGTTTTTTATAAAAACGTTTCCGGGAATTCCCGTTCCCATCCCGTCCCGTTCCAAACCGTTCTCGTTCCGTATTTTAAATGCGACATATTTGGGACTTGTTTTTCTATTCCCAAAATTTCTCTTCCCGTCCTGTTCTGACAAATTCTCGTTCCAAATTCCCGTTTGCCCACCCCTACGGCGTGGGACGTTATCATGAGGAGCCTAAACGGACGGATTTGTCTGTTTTAACATCACTAGCTAATTGGTTGCAACTAATGAATCATTTTAAGTCGAAATTCGGTTAAATTGATCTTGTCCTCAAAGTATAACATTTGTGACAAGCCAACATGATCAAAGAAATCCCATTAACATCTAAACCAAACAAATTTTATATCTTTTACTTTAAACGCCAAACAAAACATGTTTAAACTAATAAATTCATTGGCATAAGCAAAACACTTCTAAATTTAGTAATCAAACAACACTTAACAAAAAAAAAATGGGAATCATTCAAGATACTTTTTTTTTATTTCTGGTTTATTCATAAAACGACATATTACGAAAGTACCCATACGATGGATTTATTGATATGGGTCATCAGTGAAACAGGCACAGAGAGACAAAGACTCGTAAGTATTGGCAACGAAAGCGACCTCCTTTATTCACCACTGCCATTAACATGTTCTTCTTCTTCTTCTCCTTCAACATTTATGACCATTTTACCCCTCAAGAGAGAGAAATATGCAAAAAACTAAGTCTCTCTCTCTCTTCTGCAAAGCTTCAGAACTCTGGCAGAGAGATAAAAGATGATGGGGTTTTTAACTTTATCCTCCCCAAATAATTCTTCTTCCCTTCGTCTCCTCTCTTACACAACAGTCCCTACATTTGTACAATTTCCTCTCTTTAAACCACATTTAAAGACTCTCTCTCTTTCTCTTTCTCTTTCTCTCTCCATCTCTATCTTACTCTGTATTTCTGTCGTCTGAGCACTCAATGAAACCACTGTAAATTTCCGCCAGAAAATGATGTGATGGAACGATAAAAATCAATACTTTTTCTTCTCGGTTAAAGTAAAAAAAAAAGAAAACAAATTTGAGTAGAAATCATAAAAAAAAATCTAATGTCGGTACATAATTTGGTTCTCTTCTTCTTTATCCTCTGTTTCTTCTTCTTCTTCATGGAGACTTAGAAGCTTTTTTTAGTGTAGCGAAAACGCAGTCGTTTTGAGACTGTGTGTGTGAGAAAATGGCTCTGTTTGGAGATGTTGTTCTTTTGGGGTTTCTCTTCTGTTTGAGCTTAGTGGCTACTGTGAATTCTGACGAGGGTAAGTTATTATACTGATGCATGTTTCTCTAAGTTCAAGATTTCGTCTTTTGGTTGAGTAAGAAAATGGATTTTTTTAAGTGGAAGAAACTAAAAGATGAGATTTTTATATGATTTTGAAGTTTCTTAAAGAGTTTGTGGTGAAAATGAGATCTGGGTACTTGTAATGGTTTTTTTTTTTTTTAACTTCGTGGGTCTTCTATAGAATCAAAAGAAGCTTTGAATAAATTAGGGTTTGAGTTTTCTTTTGTTTTCTTGGAAGTTGAATTTTTAAGGACTTTTATTTTTCTTCTTCTCAAGAACTGACAAATATTTGTTTTTGTTTGTGCGTGTGTTAATAAAATATCCTTTAAAAAAAAAGGAGCGACGTTGCTGGAGATTAAGAAGTCATTCAAAGATGTGAACAATGTTCTTTATGACTGGACAGCTTTACCTTCTTCGGACTATTGTGTCTGGAGAGGTGTGACTTGTGAAAATGTCACCTTCAATGTTGTTGCTCTGTAAGTTTCATCCTTAAGTTTATTACAAGGGTTTTTGGTGTGCTTGTGGAAAAAGTTGTAATTTGTTTTGTTTTGTCTGTGTTTGTATGTTTTGTAGTAATTTGTCAGATTTGAATCTTGATGGAGAAATCTCACCTGCTATTGGAGATCTCAAGAGTCTCTTGTCAATGTAACTGTTTCAACATTCACTGTAGCATGAGATAAAGTATCTTACTTTATTCCATTCCACTCTCTAATTTGTGACTTTTGTCTTCTGGTTTTTCTAATGTAGTGATCTGCGAGGTAATCGCTTGTCTGGGCAAATCCCTGATGAGATTGGAGACTGTTCTTCTTTGCAAAACTTGTAAGAACAATGATAAGTGTTACTACCATTAATTTCGTTCTTAGAAGTTCAGTGGATGAAGTGTGTTAATGTTGTTTTATATTCAGGGACTTGTCCTTCAATGAATTAAGTGGTGACATACCGTTTTCGATTTCGAAGTTGAAGCAACTTGAGCAGCTGTAAGTAGCTATTTATTCTGCTACCAGTCTTCATATTTTATTGCTTAATATACTCACCATGTGGAAATATGGATTTTACCTTTTTTCCAGGATTCTGAAGAATAACCAATTGATAGGACCGATCCCTTCAACGCTTTCGCAGATTCCAAACCTGAAAATTCTGTATGTTCCTTTTAATCCTTACATGTCTACTACTTTTAGCCATATAGATGATCAAAATGTGAAATTTCGATTGCAGGGACCTGGCACAGAATAAACTCAGTGGTGAGATACCAAGACTTATATACTGGAATGAAGTTCTTCAGTATCTGTAAGTGTCAATGTTTTTTGATGTATGTCAATGTCTCTTCATTACCTGGTGATAATTGTTGTAATATGATGAACAGTGGGTTGCGAGGAAACAACTTGGTCGGTAACATTTCTCCAGATTTGTGTCAGCTGACAGGTCTTTGGTATTTGTAAGTCTATGATACTCTTCTTGCACATCTGAATAGTATGATGAGTTCTTTTCCCAATATGAAACTTCTGAATTTGTTTTTCTGTATTGAATCAGTGACGTGAGAAACAACAGTTTGACGGGTAGTATCCCTGAGACGATAGGAAATTGCACTGCCTTCCAGGTTTTGTATGTGCCTCTCTCTCTCTACTTCTATAATCCTTATTCTAGTTTGGTTACTTGGGAAAATCTACTTATGATTTGCTTATTATGAACTCAGGGACTTGTCTTACAATCAGCTAACTGGTGAGATCCCTTTTGACATCGGCTTCCTGCAAGTTGCAACATTGTTAGTCCTCACCTCTCTACTGTTACCATATTGTCCTGAACTGCTTAAATCTTTTGCTTTAAGATTTGGCTAGTCTTTGTTTTCTTTTAAAGAAGATCATTTTATCATCTTAGATCATTGCAAGGCAATCAGCTTTCTGGGAAGATTCCATCAGTGATTGGTCTCATGCAAGCCCTTGCAGTGTTGTAAGTACTTTTCTTCTAAGCAATGAAACTACTTATAACGTTTCCATGAGCTTAAAGTTTTCATTTTTTTCTTTTTCAGAGATCTAAGTGGCAACTTGTTGAGTGGACCTATTCCTCCGATTTTGGGAAATCTGACTTTCACCGAGAAATTGTAATGCTTTACCTTGATATTCTCTTCATTATATACTGTGTGGAAGTTCAAATGGAAAATTAAACATTGACGTCTATAAAGAATGGGTTTGCAATGCATAAGGCTTTTCATTACTATATATGGAAGTCTAATGACTCATTAGAGTTTAGTTTTCATTTGAAGTCATGTGTGATTCATACCATTTAAATGATAATGATTATGATTTTGGCTTTATCTCTAGGTATTTGCACAGTAACAAGCTGACTGGTTCAATTCCACCTGAGCTTGGAAACATGTCAAAACTCCATTACCTGTATGACCAATCTGCTCTTCACTTCTCTTTTCGCATACAGTCACTGCTAAGTTGTGTTTCATTATCAACTATTTGTACAATATTCACAGGGAACTCAACGATAATCATCTCACGGGTCATATACCACCGGAGCTTGGGAAGCTTACTGACTTGTTTGATCTGTAAGTAGTTCTTCCTATGCTTGACATGTTTTGATGTACTTATATTGATGTGAACTATTTACATATAGGAATGTGGCCAACAATGATCTAGAAGGACCTATACCTGATCATCTGAGCTCCTGCACAAACCTAAACAGCTTGTACGTATCTCTTTCTCTTAAAACTTCACACTGGAATGTTCAAAGTTGTTGCTTCTTTATGATTTTTGTCTCATTATTGCAACTGTAGAAATGTTCATGGTAACAAGTTTAGCGGCACCATACCTCGAGCATTTCAAAAGCTAGAGAGCATGACTTACCTGTAAGTATTGGTGCTGGGAATCTTTCTGATACCTTATATATGATATAGTTCTGCAGCTTTTGTTTCTTCGATTTTAAAGCCATTAACTACCAAGTTCTTGATTGCTTTTGATTTATCGGTTCAACCAGTAATCTGTCCAACAACAATATCAAAGGTCCAATCCCAGTTGAGCTATCTCGTATCGGTAACTTAGATACATTGTAAGTGTTTTTTGTTTTCTGTAAAGTATACATCTTTTATATGTGCATTGTCCTACAGTTATTTACTTTCTGATATTTGAAGGGATCTTTCCAACAACAAGATAAATGGCATCATTCCTTCTTCCCTTGGTGATTTGGAGCATCTTCTCAAGATGTGAGCATCTTTCCAATTCATTGTTTTGTTCTAGTAAAAGATGAAAATGGATTGTGAAATCTTTTATTCATTTTATAGGAACTTGAGCAGAAATCATATAACCGGTGTAGTTCCAGGCGACTTTGGAAATCTAAGAAGCATCATGGAAATGTAAGAAGTATCTTCTATTTGCTTAGTTAGAGTTTTTCCATATACCACATTACTAATTTGTGTTTTTTGGTTGCAGAGATCTTTCAAATAATGATATCTCGGGCCCAATTCCAGAAGAGCTTAATCAATTGCAGAATATTGTTTTGCTGTAAGCAATCTTCCTCTTACCCCTTCAAATCTGTTGAGAATTAGTTTCTGGAATCGATGTGGTAACTATGTGTGATCCAGCAACAGATATTGGGTTGGTGATTTATGTAATTTTGGTTTTCTTAAAATTTCTTGCAGGAGACTGGAAAATAATAACTTAACTGGTAATGTTGGTTCATTAGCCAACTGCCTCAGCCTGACTGTATTGTAAGTAGACACAATTGGTTCTGAAACACTTTTTGTCTCTTTGTGTGCATCTTGCTTAAAATCTAACCTGTAATCTTGACTAACTTTTATAGGAATGTATCTCACAACAACCTCGTAGGCGATATCCCTAAGAACAATAACTTCTCAAGATTTTCACCAGACAGGTATAATAATTTAGCATTTTTTGGTATTCTGTATTTTGTTTTGTTGGCTAATGTTTGTTTGATCTCTGTTTTTTTAATGGTTTTGGATTAAGCTTCATTGGCAATCCTGGTCTTTGCGGTAGTTGGCTAAACTCTCCCTGTCATGATTCTCGTCCAACTGTACGAGGTGATTACATTTTTCTAAAAGCTTCCTTTCACATAACCTAAGATAATAGAAGCTCATGTTTCTATCCTTGTTTTGTCTGCAGTGTCAATCTCTAGAGCAGCTATTCTTGGAATAGCTATTGGGGGACTTGTGATCCTTCTCATGGTCTTAATAGCAGCTTGCCGGCCGCATAATCCTCCTCCTTTTCTAGATGGATCACTTGACAAACCAGGTCTACTCTCCAAACCACTTTACAATTGTTCTTCGCCTACCACTATTGTAATCCACTAGCTAATCCTTAAACTTCTTGGTGACATCAGTAACCTATTCAACTCCGAAGCTCGTCATCCTTCATATGAACATGGCACTCCACGTTTACGAGGATATCATGAGAATGACAGAAAATCTTAGTGAGAAGTACATCATTGGGCATGGAGCATCGAGCACTGTATACAAATGTGTTTTGAAGAACTGCAAACCAGTTGCGATTAAGCGGCTTTACTCTCACAACCCACAGTCAATGAAACAGTTTGAGACCGAACTCGAGATGCTAAGTAGCATCAAGCACAGAAATCTTGTGAGCCTACAAGCCTATTCTCTCTCTCCATTGGGGAGTCTCCTGTTCTATGACTATTTGGAAAATGGTAGCCTCTGGGATCTTCTTCACGGTTAGTCTCATCGCACAATACACTAACTTCGTTTGTTTCTTCTGTTACATAACATATTTTCTTGTGTTTTGTAAAGGCCCTACGAAGAAAAAGACTCTTGATTGGGACACACGGCTTAAGATAGCATATGGTGCAGCACAAGGTTTAGCTTATCTACACCATGACTGTAGTCCAAGGATCATTCACAGAGACGTTAAGTCGTCCAACATTCTTTTGGACAAGGATTTAGAGGCTCGTTTAACAGATTTCGGAATCGCGAAAAGCTTGTGTGTGTCAAAGTCACATACTTCTACTTACGTAATGGGAACGATTGGTTACATAGACCCCGAGTATGCTCGCACTTCACGTCTCACCGAGAAATCCGATGTCTACAGTTATGGAATAGTGCTGCTTGAGTTGTTAACCCGAAGGAAAGCCGTCGATGACGAATCCAATCTCCACCATCTGGTTTGTCCTTTCTTGTCTCTTTTTCTCTCAGCATGTCAATCTGTTTTTTCTGTTTTTTTTGTTATAATTTTTCGGGTTTTTGGTTGAGTCTAATATATCATTATATTCCAAAGAAGCTTTGGTTATACATTGGTGTTTCCTTTTATGGTTTGGTTTGGATTTGGATTCGATTTTCGGATCAAGTCCAAATTAACACCCGTAAATTTTTGGGTTTGGTTAAAAGTATTCTGTTTTGGTTCAACATTTCGCATATAAATGTTGTTATGTTTTAGTTTCGATCTAAGGAACTTCGGCTTAGTTCGGTATGATTTTTTTGGTTCTAATCTTGTTTTCGATTCACTTGCACATCAGATCATGTCAAAGACAGGGAACAATGAAGTGATGGAAATGGCAGATCCAGACATCACATCGACGTGTAAGGATCTCGGTGTGGTGAAGAAAGTTTTCCAACTGGCACTTCTATGCACCAAAAGACAACCTAATGATCGACCCACAATGCACCAAGTGACTCGTGTCCTCGGCAGCTTCATGTTGTCGGAACAACCACCTGCTGCGACAGACACCTCAGCAACGCTGGCTGGTTCGTGCTACGTCGATGAGTATGCAAATCTCAAGACTCCTCATTCTGTCAATTGCTCTTCCATGAGTGCTTCTGATGCTCAGCTGTTTCTTCGGTTTGGACAAGTTATTTCTCAGAACAGTGAGTAGTGTCAATTACTTTTTTCTTAGGAGGAGAATCTTTAAAACGGTACCGTTTTGTTGCGTTAAGCTGTTAGAAAATTAATGTCTCATGTAAAAAAATTATGCACTGCCTTGTTATTATTAGACAAGTGTGTGAATATATCCTCAGACTGGCACTTAAGACTTCCTATTTTCTATCTAAATTTCTGTTTCGGAATGATTTATAAGTTATATCTGATTATCTAAATCCTACCGAAAAAGAAAAAACAAAATGCCTTGAACTCTAAAAATTAGGTTATTCTTTTAACTTATCTTAGATTTAGTGATATTTTTTACTTCTTTTTATTCTTAACAGCTAAAAATAGAAGACAATCTGATCATTTATTTATGAAAACGAATTTACATAAAATTAGTTAAAGTTTAGAAATAGATAATTATAGTGTCACATGTAAGTAATCTTGTTTTGTGCTAGGTAACCATATATATACTGTTAGATTAAAAGTCAAAGAAACATAATCAAGACTCACATACACTTGTGTGTCATAAAGAAAGAAATATATATTGTTTATGCAATCAATTGAATACTAATGCTCATTTGGTTGGAGACCAACATCTTTCAAATATGCGTCCTCATTGTTCTTGGGACACTACTTTCTTAGACATGCAAAGTAATTTTTGGATCGTAAGCTAAAAAAGATATTGTCCATTCTCGTTTGGAAGTCTTCCATTTAATCGATATGGCTGGAGTGACATCCTCAACAAACTACCCGATGAGTCGATGCAACTATTCCCATAAAACAAAACATCTAAGTTTGGAGGATCAAAATTGTCTCTTGTCTATAATCTTTTTCAACTTTTGTTTGGTGGCTAAACATTGTGTGTACTACTACACCTTAGTTAGTGCCTTATATATTTCATTATCAATTGATCTCCTTACATATAAAGATATTCGAAATGAAGACAAAACTCAAGTGGTTGTTGTACGATTATCTACCCTACTCATTCATTCGTGGGTTATAATTTATTTAGTTCAATTATTGTTTCTTGATCTAATTCGTCTATTGAGTGAGACTTAGTTTATGCTTCCTTTTCAGAGCTTTGTTTTAAATATATATGTAGTAGGATTTGAAAAGTTACTCAACTACAACATCCAGACCTTAAGATTTGTATGTTGTTATATCATAACATCACATCGAACATATATGTTAAGTGGAAGTCTTCTATCGGTTCCATAAAGTGAATAACCTTGTTTTGTGCTAGGTCATCATAAACTGTTATGATTATTTCATTTGGGCTATGTGTATTTTGATTCAACTAGATTTAGATTTAAAGTCAAAAGGAACATAATCAAGACTCAAGTACACTTGTGTGGCACAAAAAAAACACATTGTTACTTTGTTTTGTGCTAGGTGATCATATAATGTTATGATTATTTAATTTTGGGCTACGTGTATTTTGATCCACCTAGATTAGATTAAAGTAAAAAAAAAAAAATCAAGACTCACATACACTTGTGTAACACACACAAAAAATACATTGTTTGTCTTGTGAAATACTAATATAATGTAATCATATGGATACTAATGCTCATTTGGTTCGTGACCAACATCTCTCAAATACAACATGCATCCTCATTGTTCTTGGGACACTACTTTCTAAGACATGCAAAGTAATTTTTGGATCGTAAGCTAAAATGTATATAGTCAATTCTCGTTTGGAAGTCTTTCATTTAATCGATATGGCTGGAGCGATATCCTCCACTCCATCGCCAAACATCTCGATCAGTCGATGCAACTATTCACATATAACAAAACATCTAATTTTGGAGGATCTAAATATTTCCGTGTCTATAATCTTTTTTATAACACCTCGGTTTCATGAATATGCATGGTGGTGCATGCGTAAAGGTTAAAAGAATTGATTTGACCACCTATGTCACCAAAGTGCACTTTTCTTTTCGGTCAATTGTCCTGAGAGAACTCTACAGATAAGCGTGCTTGGACTGGAGCAATTTCAGGATGGGTGACCTTCCAGAAAGTGATTATCCGAACCGGATGAGTAAGGAAAAAACACGTGGAAAGATCATGTGGTTATTTGTAAGATCAGTAAACAAAGTCTTTAAAGCCTTCCAAACATAGTGGATCGACCGCCAGACAGGGATGGAGCCCACGGGTCCGATAAAGGATGTCAGGGCGTTACATTTTTCCTTTTGGTTTGGTGGTTAAACAATGAGTACTAAACCTTGGTCAGTGCCTTATAATATCTTTAGCCGTTGATATCTAGATTTTTCCATCTAAAGATTCTCGAACTGAAGACAAAACTCGAGTGGTTGGTACGATTATCTACCATACCCATTCATTCGTGGGTTATAATTTACTTGGTTCAATTATGAGTTTCTTCTTCTATTGGGTGAGACTAAGTTTATGCTTAGTTTTTTTTTTTTTGCAAAGTTTATGCTTAGTTTATTCTTCCTTTTAACAGTTTTATTTCAAAGTATGGGGTTGAACTGAACTATATATCTAACAAATTTTAGTTCTCGTGCTTTAAATATAAAACTCTAACAAAAAAACTTATTTATAAATTGAAAGCAAGAAAATGAATTTCAATATTTTGAATTTAATTTTTACAGTTTTTATTTAGAATGATTTTTCTTCATTTACAAAATAAAAGAAAAAAGAAGAAGCGGTGATATTTCAATTGTTATGGAATTTAATTTTCTTAAAAATAATTAGCCAAACTTAGAAAAAAAACGGAGTTTAGTTTCACAAGGCCTTTGTAAATTAGGGGTAATTTCATCAAAAAAAAAATTAGGGGTAATTCTCAACTAATTTCTTTTAGATTTATTTCTACTTTCACTGTTTTTATAGTCAACCAATAAATATGGAATCTGTTCATTATTTATGAAAATTTATTTAAGAAAATTAGTTAAAGTTTAAAGATATATCATCATAGAGTTACACTAATTATGATTATTTTAATTTTTTGCTATGAATATTTTAATCCAACTAAATTTAGAAAAGTCAAAATGAGCGTAACCAATTAAGATTAACCTTCTACTTCTGTGTCAAGTAGAAAAAAAAAAAAATTTGTTTGTCTTAATGACATCAATTAAAATCTATGAAACCAAATCTAGAACTTTCAAAGATAATAATAGCTATTAAATAACACATTAATCTAATTAAGATTCTTCTCTAGTTTCATCCTTAATTACCCCTAAGATAAACTTCCTCTAAACCTTATTATATAAAGGGGATATGGGGAGAAGTCAAGAGAAAAATATTAGTTGTAGAAAATATGGGGAGGAAGAAAATAAAATTGAATAGAATAGAAAGCCTAAAAGAGAGAAGTAGCAAATACTCAAAACGTAAACAAGGGCTTTTCAAGAAGGCAGAAGAAGTAGCACTGTTATGCGATTGTGAAATCATTTTGATAGTTGTTTCTCCGACGGACAAGCCTACCCTTTTCCATACTCGTTCTAAGTATAAATTCTTTGAACAGAAGTTCTAAAAAAAAAAAAACTATTTTTGTCTTTATGGTTTTTTTTTTGTTAATACAGCACTTCTAAATTTAGATCCATAAGCCAATTACTAATTCATCAACTTACAATAACGCGCTAAATGATCATGGATATCTCAATTATTTTCACTAGTTTTTGTTTTTTTCATAAAATCGTTTTGAAACGATTATAATCTAGGCTCACTTTTTTTTAACTACTTAGGAGTGACATGCTAACATGCACTAGTCGGCTACATGTCTAGTAGGAAGTGTTATCATAGAATCGTTAATTTGTTGCTTATGAATTGAAATTACCAATATTTGCTTAAAACTATGCTTTTGAAATTGTAGGTCCTTCAATAAAATCTATGAGAGATATTGCATGCTTTCATTACAAGAACGGGAAGAAAGGTGTGATTTTTCATATTTTATATTATTATTACATAAGTATATTGGCATGGTTTTTGTTTTATACATTAGCTGACTTTGGTGTTTTATGTATGCATTCAGGAAAGCCTACACAATAAAGGTTTGATTTATTCATCACTTTACATTTATCAATTAAAGTTTGAGTTTTCACTCGCCAATATCTTTCTCACGATTAGTTGGATATATGGTTTTCACAATAGTTTAAGCATAAAAGATGTATACTTATTTTCATAGTTTATTGGTCCTATATTCAAATCTAAGTTTATGTGATTGATATTATTAGTTTTCAATAAAAAAATAACACCCAAAACAAAACTTATCAGAATATTAGAAGATTTAGCCAACTGAAGCTAGTAACGAACAACTAAGTAAATTTTCTCTTTTTTTGTTATGAACGTTTGTTTATTTATTTATTTTTTTACATGTATATATAGACGCTGATAAAATTGTTGAACAAGAACAATCCAGAAGTGACCATTGAAAATGATCAATCTTTTGCTGAAAGTGACCAATTTTCGCCTGAAAATGATCAATTTTCACTTGGAAATGATCAATTTTCGCCAGAAAGGTATAATTTTGTTTATATTCAAACACATGCTTATAGGTTATTCAACATACTAGATCTAATTGTGATATATTTATTGCAGAAGTGAAGAGATTCAGGTACGAAAATATTTCTTTAAAAATATTTTGTTTCCTTTTAATAAATGTTTATTTAATATTATAATTAATGATATTTAGGATGATAATAAGGTCACTAAACTGAGAGAACTCAAGGAATTGTATGATGAGAAGAATTTAATTTTGAGGTAATGATTAAGAAAAACACTAATGAAGATTCAATAAATCATTTTTATTAATTTTCTAATTAATTTTAGATTTTTTTTTATTAAGTTTTGCTAAAACTATTATTTATTAATTGATAAGAAACTGGGAAAGTCCGAATGAAGTTAATGATTTGAACGGACTCAATATCATGGAAGACTATTTAGTTACTTCTCTCAACCATATCAGAAATGTCATAAAGGTAATTGCATATTAACATATAATAAATAAGATTTATTCTAAAAACCAAATATGATTGGAATTTTGCAAAAAAAAATTATATCTTGTTTCAGGTTAAGATCCGAGAAGAGCAACAAAACTCTTATATGATTTGAAAATGGAGAGTTTATTATGTATTTTGAGATTGAAGATCATAGGAAATAATGTTATGTTTTTTTTCTTTCAAATGATTCTTTTGTGATATGTT